GGCTGGGGAAAGGCCACCAGGCCTAGAACCATGGCTGCTGCCAGTTCTATGTTAGGGGTCCCATGTCACTGGTGGTGGGGTGGTTATCCTGCTATAACCAGCTCTCACCTCTTGGTGTTGTTTCATTTCTACCCTCCACAAACACAGGGGAGAGTAAGGAGCAGGTTGCTAACTCAGCCTTTGTGGAGCGTGTGCGGAAGCGTGGCTTTGAGGTGGTATACATGACAGAGCCCATCGATGAGTATTGTGTGCAGCAGCTTAAGGAGTTCGATGGCAAGACCCTGGTATCAGTTACCAAAGAGGGGCTGGAGCTGCCTGAAGATGAGGAAGAGAAAAAAAAGATGGAGGAGAGCAAGGCCAAGTTTGAGAACCTCTGCAAACTTATGAAGGAAATCTTGGACAAGAAGGTGGAGAAGGTGAGATGGGCAGGGAGCCTAGCCCTGGGCTGGAGGGAGGAGGGCTGGGTCCTCCATGCTGCAGGTGAGGGCCCCCGCTCAATGCATGCCTCTCATCTCCTGCAGAGGAGCCGCTAAAGGAGACTGGAGGTCCCAGCATGCACCATCTTGCTCTAAGCAGCCAGGCTGCAGGCGAGGGGCACTGACCCAAATACGTGCATTAATGGGAGAGGGTAAGTGTGGGAAACGTGCAGTGGGTGCTCTAAGTGCTGGCTGAGCTATCCAAATTAGTCTGTGCAAATTAGTCAAAGCAGTCCTGGAGCTGCTTGGAGCATCTGTGCTTGCTTTGGGTTGTCCCCAAGTGAACCAGGGGCAAAGAGTTGGGCTGTAATGTGCTGTGGCTGTGCCCAGTCCAGGGCTTATGGCGGCCTCGCTCAGCTAACCCTTGGCTATGTTGGCAGGTCACCATCTCAAACCGGTTGGTCTCCTCTCCCTGCTGCATTGTCACCAGCACCTACGGCTGGACAGCCAACATGGAGCGCATCATGAAGGCTCAGGCACTGCGGGACAACTCCACCATGGGCTATATGATGGCCAAGAAGCACCTGGAGATCAATCCTGACCACCCAATCGTGGAAACCCTTCGCCAGAAGGCTGATGCTGACAAGAACGACAAAGCTGTTAAAGATCTGGTGGTGCTACTCTTTGAGACTGCTCTGCTGTCCTCTGGTTTCTCCCTGGAAGATCCCCAGACCCATTCCAACCGCATCTACAGGATGATCAAACTCGGGCTTGGTGAGTATCCATGCAACTTCTAAAGCCTGTAGCAGGGCTCAAAGCAGGTTAACTGGTCAGGCTAGTGTCTTGAGGCAGGGGGAGGCCAGTAAGGAAGCCATGCTGCTATGATGTGCTGAAGTGGCTCTGTACATAAGGTGGCTAGGAGAAAGTGTAAATCTGGAACAAGGTACTTCAGGCGGGCTCAGGACTCTGGGTGGACTGCCCCATCCACCACAACACCAGAAGCCACCACCAGGATGTTCAGATGACAAGCTGAGGCTTTTTATTTCTCCAGAGTAAATGTGAAAAGTCTGTCATGGGTGATGTGACCCATCTGGTGAAACAGCTTGTGCTTGCACAGAACCTTTTCCTCCAAATTCACTGTTTAGCTAAAAATGTAAATCAGAAGGTGCTGTGGCTTGGCACAAGTAAGTAACTCTGTGCTGCCTAGTCTCAGTAGGAGTAGGGTCTTCTATTAGTCAAATTGCAGGTAAGTAGTAAGATAAGGTATGGTAGTACAATTTTCTGTTCAGAGTATAGTGAAACAGCAACCTGCAGTGTTGGAGGCTGATGAGCTCTAGAGTCTTGCAGCTACTTTAGTTGTAGCTTGACTAGATTTACTGCATTTTTCTCTAGAGAAATCAAACCACATTCTCCTGGCTTCAACTCCAGGTTTTGTGGTGCTGGGTGACAAGTCCTTTGTAGGTAATCTCTACCTGGCTAAGGAGTGCACTCTAATGGCATTGGTGGTATCCATATACTAGTGTAGATGTTACTGGGAAGATGCTACTGATTCAGTATTCGTGCTGGAGTTGGCAGTAATTTGTAACAACGTTTCATTTATTAGTTTTCAGCCCGGAGGAAAGGAGACTGAGGGGTGACCTTGCAGTGTTCAGCTTCCTCACCAGGGGAAGCAGAGGGGCCTGCCTTGGTATCCTCTCTGGTGACCAGTGACAGGACCTGAGAGAATGTCATGAAGTTTTGTCAGGAGAGGTTTAAGTTGGATATTAGGAAAAGGTTTCTTACCTAGAGAGTGGTTGGCCAAGGAACAGACTCCCCAGGGAAGTGATCACAGCACCAAGCCTGCCAGCGTTCAGTAAGTGTGTGGACAACACTCTGAGGCACACAGTGTGATTCTTGGGGCTGTCCTGTGTAGAGCCAGGAGCTGACTTCAGTGATCCTTGTGGGTCCCTTCCAAATCAGAATATTCTATGATTCTGTGAACTATTGGATGCTAGTAGCCTCATTCCTCAGGCTAGGGGCAGGAGCCAGGTTTACTTTGGGAGAGGCTGTACATCTGGGATCAGGTGTCATTTGAAGGCCTTATCTCTTCCTTTCCTCCCCTCTCCCAGGCATTGATGAAGATGAGATTACAGCAGAGGAGCCCAGTGCAGCTGTCCCTGAGGAAATCCCCCCTCTGGAGGGAGATGAAGATACATCCCGCATGGAAGAGGTAGACTAAAAGAGGAAGGTTATTCCTTCACCTGCCAGACCTCTGCTTTATCATGTCTGCTTAGAAGATGGTCTGCTCCCACCAGCTGCTACTGACTTCTTGGTGGTGGCTATTCTTTTGGCTCTGTTTGGTTGGGGTTGTTTTTGGCAGGGTGCAGGACGGCATGATTCCCTGTTTGTTAGTAGTTATTCAGGTAGCCTGAGGCCTGTCTGTTCTGTGTATTTCTGCTTGTGTAGGAACATCTGATGGGGAGTGGAGGTGTGAGAGGAGGCATCAGGCTTCCCCTCTCTCCCCCTCATGGAGTGTCCCATGTTACCAGTAGGCATCAAACACTGTCCTTATGCCATTGGGGTGGGAGAGCCCTTCCTCCAAACTGCTGCCTCCCTGAAGCCCCAGGCTAGCATAATGTATCTTGGCTGGGTTTTGTTTGATAAGTTTTCTGGTTTTTTGTTCTACTGGAATTAAAGAATTGATGATTTACATGGTGGGGTCCCTTGTGTTTCATGCCTAACTCTACTGAGGAAAATGTCTCAGCTTGTGCCTGAGGGCATTGGACTCTCATGTGCTGGTCTCCCCTGTGCCCTGACTGCTTTTCTGAGCTCTGCTTTAGGTGATCTTTATCTCTTCCATGCAAGATGAAGTGGGTGGAAGGAACACCTGACCTGCTGTGCAGGTGGGGTCATCTCCAATGAGCAGTAGTTGTCCACCTGGATTGCTGCATGCCCCCGAGCCTGGGAGCAAACTCCCAATCTGTGGGGGTCAGCTGGGTAAGCTGTGTCGGGGCCTGAGCCTGGGCTGCTGCTGGCTGATTTGAACTGAGCACCTCTGGGGCAGGACAGTGGCAGGAGCCATCTGCCTGTTCCTTTGTGTGGAGCAAGGTGGAGTGACAGCTCAGGACTGTAGTCAAGCCGTCTCTCTTCAGCTGTTGGACCAAAGACTCCTTTCCTCCCACCTCCAGCCTGCTCTTTCTGGCCTTCTGCAGCTATTGGGTATTGGGCAGTATCTGGCTTCTTTCCATTTGTGTCCTAGATGACAAGCCTGGGACATCACCTCTGTTTGAGCTGCCCCTCGCACTGAGCTCACACTCTGTGAGGTTTGTCACCACTGGCCACAGTGGCCCTTGGGGTTTGTCAGAGAGAAGTGACACCAGCATTAAGTTCTCTTGCTGCCCACATGCCAACTGCCACAGGCACAAAATAGAATGGGCTTTAGCCAGTATCCATCTTCAACAGGGAGGCAGAGCCTGCTGGAATCCCTTGCTGCACTGACTGTGCTGCCAGTGTGGCAGCTGTGTGGGTGCAGCCTGCTAGGGCTGTGGTGGAGCTGAGCTAGCAAATTATTTTAAAGTAGGATTTCTCTCTGGATAGGAAGGTGTTGCCAAATACTGAATCGATAAAAATTAACTTAAAAAGTTAATGCCCTGGGTTTTCTTCTTCCACTAATGTTTTGTATAAATCTACATTTGAATTAGAAAGGTTATGCCATTGTATCCCATTCCTAACCAGGCACTGTGCGTTTTTGTTGTTTTGTTTGTTTTCAATCAAAGGAAATGACATTCCATTTTCAGTCTGTCAGCAGATGGTGGATGCAGGCATTTGGGCAAATGTGTAGGGCAGGATGAAAAGCTGTGAAGTTGCACAGGCACCTCTAAAAGCTCAGAACTAGAAAAGGAGCACAGATAAAACTACTGGAGAGCCAGGTGCTCTGAAGCCTGGGCTGTGCTCAGCACAAGCTCTGGTATCCCTCCTGGTTCAGCTACTCCCTGCTCTCCTGCTGTTTATCATGTAACCCTTATCTGACTGTCCCCTTTCCCTAGCTGTGTTAGGCCCCAGTCCTGTATCTGACCCCAGACTCACCCTCACCTACACAGTTTTTCACCAGGGCTCCCACACGTACCAGCAGGATGGACCATGCACACCTCAAGCCTCTCCTGGCTCTGGCTGCTGCAGCACACCCCACAAAGTGCTACAGCACCAGTGGCCCAGCTGGCAGGTACTCAGCAGGCCTCTGTATCACCTCTAGGTAGCTGCACCCACAGGGAATTCCTTAAGTTATACATGGAACGTAGGAGCCAAACTAGGCTCAGGCTAATGGGTCCTTCACCTGTCCACCAGCATAAGCAGCATTCCAAACCTGGCTGTGCTCCCCAGCTATGTGTGTAAGGATCTCCAGGCCTTGCAGATTTGAGTGCAACCCTGGTTGCTACCTGCCTTGGCAAATACAGAGAGAGGCACCTGTATTTAGAAAGACAACTTTGCTGTCCCAAAGAGACTAGGGACACAGGAAGAATTGGAAATCTCTTCTCCCCCCCCCCCCTTCCTTTCTTTTCCATGGAAAAACAACCCCAACCAACAAAAAAAAACCCCACATTTAGGCCTATGGCACTATATTGCAGCATATTTTTAATTTAATAAAATAAAAAGAGAAAAAATTGCCTTGCAAAAGTACCAAAACCTGCTGGTTTGTCAGCCAGGTTGTGTTGATGAGAAAAGGATTATCCAATAAAACCCAGGCTTCTGGGGAAGAACAGCTTTCACTGCTCCATCCCCTGCTGTCTGTGGAGCAGGAACAAAGTACCGCATGCGGGCTCTGCCCCATGTCCCAACCCTCCAGGCACAGACTCCGGCCAGCTCCTGGGAAAACCAGGGCTCGTGCCTCCAGGTGGCAGGAAAAAGAGGAGTTGTTTGTGCTTGTCTGAATGGCAACTGCAAAGCCCAGAAACCATGGCACTGAAGGAGCCCGAGGTGGTGCTGGGGCTTCTGGGCAGCATAGCCTTTGGCCTGTACCAGCAGCAGATGTAACCAAAAAGCAACCTCGAAGGACTTGGCAAGCCTTGGGAACTGTCCAGCTCAGGTACTGCATAAAAATCAGCCTGGGCTGAGGGGAGCAAAGAAAAGTGTCCCGGAGCAGGGGCAAAGAATTGATAAAACCAAACTGGGAGGTACTGGCTTCCACTGCAGTGCCCTCCCAGAACAGATCTCGGGCCTAGGGTAGGACAGGCTGGGAGTCCTTCCCTTGGCTGTGCCTGTACTACCCAGAGCCCCTCCTGGAATGGAGGAAGAGCACTCCCCACCCTTCGATGGGCTCATGGGACTTGCCTCACTCAGAGGTGTTTCAAAAAGAAACCTAGTGTTTTACTTGCCCTTTCCTCCTGCCAAGCTCTGTAATACTAACAGAACTGGAGGAGCATTAGCCAGAGGCAAGACAGTGCCAGGGAAGAGTTCCCTTGTTCATCACTGACTATGGGGAGAAGCCACAGAGGTGGGGCAGGAATACCAGCAGCCCCATGCTGGTGTGCCCCCAGGCCTGTGCCTTGGCTGCAAGTCTTTGACCTATTAAGGCAAATGGAAAGGTTTGGAGCTGCATCAGCCCAGAGAGTTTCCTGGGTTTGTTCCAGCCCCTTTCCAAGGAAAAGCAGGTGGAAAACTGAGTCACTGGTCCTGCCCTATCCATACCCCACTCTCTTCAGTGGGTTCTGAGAAATCAAGCAAATACCCTCGAGTGGAGGCAGGACAGCAGGCATGGCTTAAATGCCATGGCCTCAGCTTCCTTAGACCTTTTGTACAGGGGTCTCCCCCGGCGGGAGCTTCTTACTGCGCTTCTTCATGCGGCTGCGGGCGTAGACACGGAGGAAGAGGGCCATGAAGACAACGGCTATGCCCAGCCCACCCACAACAGTGACAGTGTGCCCGTAGATGAGGCAAGAGAGGAGGATGGCAAAAGCCTGTCGGAGTGTCATGATGATGGTGAAGACAGCTGCCCCAAACTGGTTGATGGTGTAGAAGATGAAGAGCTGGCCGAAGGCAGAGCACACAGAGAGCAGCACGGCGTGGGCCGTGAACTCCGAGTGGCGAGCCATGAAGCGCAGCGACTCCAGCAAGGCACCCTGCTCCAAGAGCGAGCCCACGGTGAAAAGGCAGGAGAAGACGTTGACGCCAAACATCATCTGCACGGGAGACATCTTGTAGGTGAAGAGAGCGTCTTGCCAGTTGGAGGTGAAGCTGTCAAACATTATGTAGCCAGCCAGGAGCACTATGCCAGAGAAAGTGGTGACAGTGGACACTGTCCTGTTAGGACCGCTGGAGAGCAGGAACATGCTGACTCCCACGGAGATGAGGGCAGCAGTCAGGTACTCCCAGTACTCATAACTCTTGCGTGACACCAGTTTGCCCATCATCATCACTGGGATCACTTTGGAGGCCTTGGCCAGCACTTGGGTGGGGAAACTGATGTATTTGAGTGCCTCATACTGACACCAGCTGCTGAGGATGTTGGAGAGGGAGGCAAAGGAGTATTTGTACATAGGAGCCCCATGGCGTGGCTGCTTGGTCAGGGCGCAGTACAGACCAGCCACTGTGAAGGCCAGGATGCGGTTCATGAACACGAGGAACTGGGAGTCCTTGAAATTCTCACCAGGGTCTGTTTCAGTGGCACCATATGTTCTCGTCATCACACGCTCCTGGAGGACACCCCATGTGAGGTAGGAAACCTGCAAAGCAGCAGGAGCATAGGGAGAGTCAGGACCCACAACAGCAGCTGCCAACAACAACAGGAAGAACAGTCCCCGGAAGATCCTTACTTTTCCCAGTGTTACCTCATCCTCTGCATGGCAATGCTTCCCTGAGACACTGGGAGATGGGACCACCCCCCACTCCACCCCTCTGAGGGAACCCGTTGTCCCATGTGGTTACAGCCAGGAACATCCGGTTCCAAACCACAGCTGCTCAATGTACAGGGGAGAAAAGCCCACAATGCAAACATCCTGATGAGAGCCAGCAGTTACACTTTGAGCTACTTTAAGCCTGTGGAACCAGACTGACCGAATCAGGGAAGATTACTGATACTGATTACTTTACAGTTGTGGTTTTGGTGCCAGCTCCCTGCAGCAGGTCCTGGCAGTTTTCCCAGTGGCCTCTGCACTGGTTTTCACTTCCAGCTCCCTAGGCCTGGTTTTACATCCAAATCAATTCTAGTTTCAAAACCAGCACGCAAAATTGTCCACGAGAGATGATCACTGTCCTGGTTGTCATCTCCACTACTTTTGTTGCAACAACACCAAGCCCCTCACAGAAGTAACACAGACTTCCTCTCATCACACATCTCCCAAGAAACTAAGACACAGAGACATGGAAGAATTCGGTGGCCCACAGCAAGTCTGAATGGGCTGGGGAAGTAGGCCAGAAAGTGAGTAGTTTCCTGGCTGCAGGACACCTGGGTTTTTCTATCTCAGTGCCCACATTGCTATTTTTTGTCCTCACAGACCAAAAAAGTTGCCCCTCTCAATGATGCTCACGCTGTAGCTGAGACTTGGGGAATCTAAGATTTTAAATTCCTGTTTATCTGTAGCTGAATTAAGTATTTTCTCTCCAATACTCAAATTTAATGTATCAAGGCAGAATGCATCAACCCCATACAGTGACCCATGGGAGAGCCTGGGAGAAAAGAGGGTTCAAACTATCTGCTGATCTGACATCAGGGCCAGAACAAAAGCAGCCTTAACAATCTGCTGAATCACAGAATTTTCAGAGGGTCTAGAGGACTGTGATCAGACAGACAGGATGCTCCAACCCAAATGACAAAAGCTAAATGGATCTCCATAGCCCTTAGAGGTGGACTATCCCAGCCTCCAATCCAGCCTTGATCAAGGACAGCATTGCATCCTTGGTCTTCAAGGAACTGACAGTCCGTAACCCACTGGCCACTTCCTCCTTCCACAATGGGACAGCCAAACATGCACAGGACCCCCACCTGTAGACCAGCAGCACAGAAGAGCAGCTTGAAGAACTGTCGGGCTGTGGAGGACTCTGCGGGCTCTGCTCGGGGTGGCAGGGGACCGTCATCCTGATGTACAGACTTCACCTCAGAGCCAAACACACATGATTTGATGACAGGGAAGCAAATGCCTCGGCCTGAACAGGGTAAGAGAAGATGGAGATACAATTAACCAAAGCCTGGGCACCACACGCTGCACCAGCTTGAGAGGTGAAGCCTCCCTCCTCCCTAGCCTCCAGATCTGTTGGTATGGGGGCATCAGAGAAATTTGTTTCAGGATAGCAGCTGGACAGCACTGGGATGCAGCTCTGTGAGTGGTTCAAGCCTGACAATGCAGGTTGGGGAAACAACCTGAGTGGGGTAGACAGAGGCAGGGCAGAGAGTTCCAAGGGATGAAGGATGTGGAAGGGAGGCTCCCGCTCGTACCTGTCTCCAAGTAGTTCCTTCTCTTGAAGTACTGGATGAGGAGGAAGCCTGGTACTACAATACTTGCATAGCCAGCAGCATTAACAAAGAAACGGAAGAGCCAGAAGTCCCCCCACGAGTCCTGCAGGGCAGGGACGATCTCTTCACCGGTAGCCATCGTAGGGAGGGAAGCCAGCACGAGGGGAAGGCAAAATCTGCGGAGAGAGAAAGAGGCAGGTGGTGGGCTACTGGTACATGGGCAGCTCCACTCCACGTGCCTGCAATACCCAGCATCCCGCCTGATCCTCGTCACCTGGGGGGGCCACCCAGACTCCACTACAGTGACAACAGTGATGCTGGCAGCACACAGAGTAGGAAAAGTCCTCTGGAGCTGAAAAGCACAGGCCATATATGTTTGCTTCCGTTAAAGGGGATTGCTCTGGAACGTGTGGACTTAGAACCTTGGATTGCCAGGATTAGAGAGAACACTGCCATAACCATCTAGTTTTGACTACACCTTTACTCCAAATGCAAGTAGCACCTCACATCTCACCTTTAAAAGTTAAACTTTAGCACAGCTTTTGGGTGGAAAAGGAAAAGGTCACTGAATGGAAAGACTGACTCCTACCTAGAAGCTCATGTTTCAAGCCAGTGGCAGTGAACAACCTTCCTCTGGAAGCAAACAGTTCAGAGCTTTCCCCTCCAGCTACACCAGGTGAGTGGAGGAGAGGCAGGGTTTGGGGCTGCCAGCCTCCCCCACCTCCCCCGTGCAGCCCTGGAAGTGAGCCAAGGCATTCCTCACAGCTCACAGGAAATTACCAGGGTTCACCCGCCTGGCAAAACACAGCCAGAAAGCAAGGCTGGAAAGGAAGTTTCCTACCAGCTGTCTGGTTGGGATTTTACCAGGACTATGCAATGAGTTATAACTGATACTCTTCAGCTATAGCTGTAGGAAGTGATCTAACCAGCTTTAAAACAGCTTTCATAGTCCTTGAAGGAGTTCTTCCCTTCAGTGTCCACTCTCTTACAAAGGCAAACCTGCAATATTCAGGGGCACCAGGTACTCAACAGAATGAGCAACTGGGCAAGAACTTCCTGCACCCAAGGCTGCCTGCATTCTCCCCTCACAAAGCAAGCTGCAGCTTCCTGCATCAGGGTAGAGGGTTTCCCTGGTCCATGCTACATCCCTGCCTCAGTTTTCTCAGTGGAAAAAGCCTCCCAGTTGCCTTGGGGGCCAGGTGAGAGTGCTGTGGGCTGGCTACATAAACACACACCAGAAAAGCTCCTGTGACTGACAGGGACAGAGATGTTAATTCCTCCTCCCCCAGAAACAAGTGAGTCAGAGGAATTCAGGCCCTAATTAGGGGTATACCTGGCCCCAGTATTGTATAGCTGTGACCTTTAGTAGCTCCCATACGAAACTCTGAGATTTACAAACTTAAGGGCTTTAAAGGCAAGAAAGTCCCCTGCCATTTCATGAGTAAGCACTCCCACCAACCTCTTGTCCCCTTGGGAAAGACCTCAGGGACTTTTCTCATCTTCAGCTACTGTGGCAAGGCCCTGAGAGTTTAATAACCTGACCAAAGCCAAGGCTGTGTTTCACCCAGAAATCTCCCTTCTGTGACTTAAAGGACATAGAAATTCCCAGGCCAGAGAGAGGTGCAAATAGCTATTTCTTTGAATTTCTTTGAATTTCTTTGCCTGTTTCCTACTCCTATGTCTCCCCCCATCCCTTAGAAAAGACACCATCACTCAATCTCTCCTTCTGCAGTGGCATCATCACAGGCTGTACAGGTGCTGTGGGATGCAAAAACAGGGCTCAGTGCTCTCACCTGGGGCTGAAGCTGCCCATGTGCTCCTGGGTTGGTCCGTATTATGTAACCCTCGCTGATGGTGAGGTGCAGAAAAGCTGTTCACTTTTGCAGAAGTCAGACATAAATGACAGGGTCTGTTGCCACATTTACAAACCGACAGAGGCTGCAAGCTCCGTTCAGCACGATTGCGCCTGCTGTTATCCTGCCAGCTCCTGCAGCGCTGCCATGGGAGGAGAATCAGCCCCGCTCTCCCACAGCGACCGTGAAGAGGAGGCTATGGAGGGACAATGGCTCTCTATGCCTGCGCTAGCAATTCCCAGGCCCCGAGAGCTGACTCAGTGCAGCAGGCCCTGCCCTCTCTGCCGAGGCTGGGAAGGAACAGGGACGCCAGTGTTACAGGTAGAAAGCGGGGGGGCTGAGCAGGCAACATGCAGAGGCATGAAAGGAGCCTTAGTCTGCAGAGCGGCCCAGGAGCCGAGACAACAGAGCCGGCCAGGCTCCCCTGGGCACTGCAGGGCAGCTCTCAAACGCACCGCTCCAGAGCCGGGCTGGCACCCGGCCCTCTGCCCGGGATGCACAATTGGGTCCCGGGTCTGAAAAAGATACCTTCCTACAGCCCTGATACTCCTGAGCGCGCCTCCAGCGCCGGGAAGGGCTGAGGTCAAATGCAAGCTCGGAGCTGGCAAGTCCATACTAACATTTCAGGATCTCGTGTCTGCTCCCTGCCCGCAGCCGGGCCGCAGGGGGTGCCTGCCACTGTCCTCCCACGGCCGACCGCCGCCTCTGAGGCACCGGGCTGCCGCTCCCCGCCGGCCGCGGGGCACCCTGCGCCGCGGGGCTCCCGGCAGGGGACAGCCCTATGCTTGCCGCTCCGGGGCTCCTCTGCCCGAGGCTCCGGCAGCCCAGCGGGAAAGGCAGCGCCCGGCCGGCTGCGGGGCGAGCGTGGCCCCGGCGCCGCCTCCCAGCCCAGCGGCCACGTTCGCAGCGAGCAGGCCGGCAGCGCGCCGCCTGCCTTCGCCCGCCCTCGCCGAGCGGGGCAGCTGCTCCCGCGGCCCGGCCCGCCCCGGCCTCGGCACCCACCTGCGGCCCGGCCCCGGCCCGGCCCCGGCCGGCTCCCCTCGGCTCCGCTCCCGGCGGCGGCGGCGGCGGAATCCCCGCCCGGCGGGCGCGCTGCGCGCCCCACAGCGCCCCTACCGCTCCGGAGGGACCGCGGCGGGACGGGGCGGGACTGCGACCACAGGGTCACAGAATCAATGAGGTTGGGAGAGACTTGAGACCATCGAGCCCAACCTCTGACCGAACACCACCATCTTAACTAGACCATGGCACTGAGTGCCACAGCCAATCTTTCCTTAAACACCTCCAGGGAAGGCGACTCCACCACCTTCCTTGGCCTGTCTATTCCAATGTCTAATCACCCTTCCTGCAGAGGAAGTCCTCCTACCATCCAACCTAAATCTCCCCTGGCACAGCTTGAGGTTATGTCCTCTTGTCATGTTGCTGGTTGCCTAGGAAAGAGGCTGATCCCCACCTGGCTACACTTGCCTTTCAGGGAAGTGTAGAGAGTGACAAGGTCTCCCCTGAGTCTCCTTTTCTCCAGGCTAAACACCCCCAGCTCCCTCAGCAGCTCATCACAGGGCTTTTGCTCCAAACCCTTCACCAGCACTGTTGCACTTCTCTAGACACGCTCCAGCACTCTCTTGAAGTGAGGAGCCCAGAACTGAACACAGGACATGGTGCGAGGCCTCACAAGTATAGAGGATGATGACTTACCTAGTCCTGATGGCCACACTATTCTTGATTCAAGCTAAAAGCCATCAAAGCTAGCCCCCAGCATCCCCCCATCCCAAGGTAGCCCCCTCCAAGCTGCCAGCCCTGCACTGGGCACAGCCACAGCTGGTGCCTGGGGCAGGTGAGTATGGCACCTACTCCAGTCCTGCTCCCGAATCCCTCATCCCAGACCCAGGCATGGCTGCAGGGCCAGCTGGAGCCAGCCAGTAATGTATTACAAGACATCTTTTTAAAACAAATAGTTTTATTTTAAAATAACAAAACAAACAAAAAAGCCCAGATCACTTGTTTCTGCCTTTTCCCTTTGTTCCCAGCTACAGCCCTGGCCACACCACTCCACACTGCCCTGCAGCCTCTGTCACTGCTTCTTTGGGCTGCCTGGAAATGCCTCATGTCCCTTGTGAAAGGTGTCCTTGAAACGCCCCGTGGGTTTGCAGCAGGGTTGAGGCCCTGCCAGAAGGTGAGAGGCAAAGATTCAAAAGAAGCAGAGTAATCCAGCCCAGGACTGCTGAGGAAACCAGGCAAGGTCCAGAGGCCTGGGGGGTCCTTACGCTGCTTTCCTGGCAGCATTCCCATGAAAGAAGGGAGGAAGAAGAACAAAAGCTCACTCTAGAGCATCCTGGTCGATTGCACCATCCAGTACTTGTCCCAAACAACAGCAGCTGCTCCCAGGCAACAAGTGAGGAATTTTCCTGGCTGAGATGGGGTAAGTCAGCTCTGTGCCTCCATTCCCACAGCACCTTTGGCTGATTGCCTAATGCACTGCATGTGCTGGAGAACTAAGTGGCAGGGAAGGGTGCTGAGCTGAACAACAGAAGGGATGGTAAGATAATGCTGCCACCTCTTCCACTTTCAGCCTGGGAGAACCTAAATCCCAGGGAAGACACATACCCTAAGTTTTTTAATCCCCTTCCAAGCCAGGAGAGGAGGAAGGATCTTTCTGTCCTCTGTGAAAGGGGAACCCACAGCACAGTAAAGCAGCAAGGTGTCAGGCACAATGGCAGAAGCAGGGATCCACAACCTGGTCTTCAGCATCTCTTTCTCCAGCCCTGCAGCCAGATGCTCAGCAAGACATCATGGGAATAGAGCAAGTTCCTCAAGCAGCCTCAGCCCCAAGCAGTAGAAATGCTCTGCAAGTGGGGAAGGCCCTGTGCTCCCACTCACCTTCTGCAGTGTGAAAGACCCGAGGGAGCAGGCAGAGTGGGGAAACCCCTGTAGACCTCATGTCCCCAAGCCCCCGCAGTGATGCACAGCCTCCTGACACTGTGGGGTGTGGGGTGCCTTAGATCACGAGACCTCCGGTGCCCACAGCAACAACAAACATTTATTAGAGTGAGTGTTGGCTCTCCTCACCCCACACTTATTCTGATGGGGTGCCAAACAATGCTCTGTCCAGCCTACAGCATGAAAATGAGTCCTCTCCTGCTCCTTCCCTGTGTATGCTGGAGATCCCCAGAAGTCATGGGAGGGAGGGGAAATTCAGTCCTGCTGCAGTGCGCAGATTCTAAAAGAAAAGCTTCCCCTGTGTAGTGCTCATAATGCCACCTTTTTCCATCTGGGAAGGCAGCCTGAGGCAAACAAAACTTTTCCAAAGAGGGGAATGGCAGTGGGATAAGTCTCCCAAAGTATCTCTGCACCCACTGAACTGCAGGCAGGCAAGATCCTAGTAGGCAGCAGCACAGAGGAAGGAGGCAGCCTGACAGGCCAAAGGAATCCATCTGCTCATTCGGAGCACACAACAGGCTTCCCTGAGATCTTCAGGTCATCGAAGGGCAGCAAGGCAAGGAGCTGTAAAGACCAAGGGTATGGACATGTAAGCATCCAGGGTTCTGTCTTCACCAAGTGGGGTAGGGGACCAAATTTTTCCCCCCACCCAGTCCTCCAGCCTCCCACGTCCCTAAGGAAAGCCCCATGAAACTCTATCTGGGCTTTTCCTAGGGCTCAAAGCAAAAGGCAATTATCCCACACACCACAGAGCCAATGCCAACAACATGCAAGGAAGGACAGGAACAGCTCCTCCTAGGAGGGTCCCTCTAATCATCCAACTCCTGCACCCTCTGGCACACTTGCAGAGCCACAGGATTCCCCCACAGAGACTCACATCATCGTTGCCATCAGCCAGGTCCTGAGCTGTCTCGTTCTCCATGTTCCTCAGCAGGGTGTCAGCCCCAGAGTGTGAGAGGATGGCGGCGATGGCAGCGTCCTTGCGGCCCACGGCCAGGTGGAGTGGAGTGCACCCGTTGTACATCTGGGCATCCACATATGCCCCATTGTGCAGCAGGAACTGGACAGCCCTACGGTTGTGGCACTCCACGGCCAGGTGCAATGGGGTCTTCCCACTCGTGCCCTCCTGCAACCCACAGATCACAAGGGTGTGGGTGGGAGGGTCCCCTCAGCTGGGCCCTGTAGCACCCACGCACACCCCTTTGACTAGGTGCAGAGGGCAGTCCCCACCCTGATTGCTGTCACAGCACTCAACAACCTCTCAAGGACCTTTACTCTCTCAAAACTCAGTGCTCCCAAGTCTCACAGCAGTGCCTGCTAAAGGGAGTGCCCGAAGGAGAGACTCATTGTCCCAGCCTTTACAGAATATCACACCATGCCCAGTCTTACCCGAACATCAATGTTGGCGCCTCTCTCCAGCAGCAGAGACATCATTGGGATGTTCCCTTTCAAGGTACTGATGTGCAGACAGGCCAAGCCTGTGATGGGGAGGCAGAAGAGGGAGCCACAGTCAGCCCAGACCACCCTGGGGCACACCACACCCAGTCACATTCCCATTCTGCTGTGCTCCTAGGTCCCTACATGCACATCTCATGGTCTCTGCCCTAATCTGGCCACCAGCTCGGCTACTGCGCCATCCCCAGGTCTCACCTTGCCAGTTCTGGAGCTGCAGGTCCTGGTGGTGCCCACGGGGCTGAGTTGTGCCGTCCAGTGTGGCTGGGCCCTCCAGCAGCTGCTGGGCACACTGCAGCTGCTGCTGCTCACAGGCCAGGTGCAGTGGGGTGTTGCCATTGCGGTCCTGCAGCCCAGGGTTCACTCCCTTGCGGATCAGTGCCTGGATCACACTGGGCTGCTCCAGGTACACAGCGAGGTGGAGCGGGGTCTGGAGAGAAATCAGGAAAGGGGAGGATGCTGCAGGACACCAGGTGTGATGAGCCCCACCAATCCCCAGGAGCTAGCCTGGCAGCACAGGCTGACTGCATGCAGGACATCGCCATCCCTGTTGTGATGTTACAGGTGGCTCACACTGGTGGGGTCACATGGCTTGCTGTTCCCCTGCACTTCAGCTCACAGATGCCCCATGGAGACAGATCTCATTCTCCCAAGTTATCTACCCTGCCACATTCAAGCCATGCCTCTTCCATGGCTGTCTGCAATGTCCTGGGGCCTTGCAAAGAAACCCTTCAACCCACAGTGCTGGGAGCTATCTCCACCTCCCTTCTTCCCCTCCCTGCATACAGGGGACCTTCACCATTCTCTGCAGGAAGCAGGTATGGGGTCCTGGGGAAAGGGCAGATGGATTGAGCATCAATCCAGGGAACAGCCTGTGGCACTTCTCTTCCTCCCATCTTTTGCCTATCACAACAGCATACCTGGAAAAGATCATTTTGGATCTCCAGCACTTCCCTGGGTAGCTGAGCTATGCAGCAGAGTGCTACAGCTGGGACACAATGGATAATGGCCAGATGAACCAACCTACAGGGGGTTAATGGTGACAGGAGAGAAAAAAAAAAGAAAAGTAAGTCTCTTAGTGCCATGCTCAGGAGCAGAGACCCTTCCCTGCTGCATGAAGGAATAATCTCCTTGCCTCTTCCAGTCTCCTTCCCTCCAGTTTGGAGGTCCTCCATCTTGCCCTCTCCCTGGGGAAGCTCAGCAGAAGGCCAAGGCAGGAACATGGTCTAAGACTCCACAGGGCAGTCCTTTACTCTGACCCCCATGGGAAACAGACCCTCCTGTCCCTGCTAAGCAATACAGGGTCTTCCCTCAGACCTCACAGCGTGTCTAGGTTTCAACCTGGCACTGCCCAAAGCCAGGCCTCCAACTGGTGTGGGTCCAAAGAGCCTGGGATCTTTCCTAGAGTCCAAGATCTAGTGGCTATGGAGAGAGGTCTGTGCTCTGGCAGCTGCCCGGGGAATTCCGGTTCCCTAGTGCCAGCTGCACACTGTACTTCTGCTTTCCCCTCCACAAAGGCAAACAGTCAAAGCTGGGCAGGAGCCCAGGGCTGCTCCAAGATCACCTGCATGGCACAGTTCCTATGCCAGCCGATCTGCCGGTCCACACCGATTTCCTCTTCTCTCCCCCACATCCTTCCCCCTTTTAGCCCTGTCATGGCAAGGCTGGCACGCAGCCCGCCAGCACAGAGGGACACCAGAGATGCAGCTGTCAGAGCTTGGTGCCAAGCAGGAACCACTGTGGTCCCCACAGCCATGGGGTGGCCAGGCCCCCCAGAATCCCCCAGCCCAAGGACATGTTTAATTTCCAGACGGCCCCTGCACAGTCAGAAGAGAAGTGAGAACATAAAAGAGGCAGAGCTGAGAGGGAATTTCCAGTCCCCCCTGCCAACCTCCTTCTCCCAGGCCCCCTGCACTGGAAGGCCCATCCTCCCACCACAGGGCAGCCCCCTCAGGCCAAACCTGGCCACGGTGGTCAGCAGCGAGGAGCAGGCAGCAGCTCCCACTCTTCACAGCAAGGCAGGCAAGAGCTCAGCCTCCTGACCCCTCACCACTGCACTGGAGGCCCTGGGTGGCCTCTGTCTCTGGAAGGAACCAGCTCCAAACTAAGGCTGGGCTCTGCCACCCATGCTGCTTTGATGGAGACTGACAGGGTCAAGAGACAGAGGGTGAGAGCTGTGCCAACCCTGGCAAGACACCCCACTCTCCAGATAGCCCAGCTTTGGGGTGCCACCTGCAATGCAGGGGATAGAGAGCATCCCTCCACAGGCAGGAGAACAATACCTGGCCCTAAAGCATTGCAGACAAGAAGTGGGGCTGGGGGCTGCCTCTTTGCCGGTTGCACTGGGACAAGAATGTGCTGAGAAGCTCAGAGGCCAGTCCCCAGGAATGTCCTTTATTGACCTCCTCCCAAATGCTGCTTGAAGATCAAGCCAGCATCTGGGACCCCAGGCATCTTCAGTTGAAACCTGATTTTGAAGGCAAAACAAGGCCAGTTCCTCTCCACCCTGCTGCCAGGGGAGAGGCTGTGCCCAACCAGGAGAGGCTTTGTCCGTGGGGAAGCCCCAGGTTATGCTGCAGCAGGGAATTCCCCACAGGAAGGGGAGGCCACCCACACTTGCTTGCTTCTGCACAGCCATGGGGCGCTCCCTCACTGCCAGCACCTTCAGGGCAGGGAAGGGAGCTGCAAGGAGGGCATGGGCAGGGTCTGGCCACCCTCGGTGGACCATGGGGCAAAGGCACAGCCAAGGGGCCCAGCCCAGGAACAAGGCAATCAGCTGTAAGAGTAGCTCTCCTCTCATCAGGCTTTTGCTAAGCCTAGCCTAGGTATGATCCAAGCAGGGAGATTCCCTGCTGGGTTTTGCTACCCTGTGGTAGCACCTCTGCTGAGGTGTCCTTTGCATACTTGCAGGGACAGCCCCTGTTTCTCCAGACCTGTTCCCAGGCACCACGTGCGGGAAGAGGCTGCAGGATCTGCCTTTTTCAGGTACAGCAGGGTTAAGACTGCTCAAATGAGGGACTTTCCACGGCAATTCAGCATGAACTTTAAACCGCTGGTGATTTCGCTTTCCAGAGCCACGCTGGGCTCCCAGGGGAGAGAGCAGTGCTCAGGGTTGTGTCCCACGGCTGACAGCCCTGCTGCCCCAGGAATCCCCCGGGCCCCTCTGTCACTGCCCACACCACACTGCACTATCATGTGGGGACGAGTGGGGCAGTCACCCGGCAGAACTGGAAACCCCCGAGCAGCTCTCTGCCACCTCACTTTTCCTGGCTTAGCTGCCTTTGCAGCTCAACAAGGCAGTGGAACTGTTTGGGGCTAGGCTGACGCTGAGCTAGTTTGGGCATCCATGCTGCAGAGGCAACCAGGGGTGACCATCCCCCTGGGCAGAGCTCAGGCTTTCACCTTGCAGCTGTGATGTGCCTGCTTGGAAGGACTGCTTTCCCCCATCCCCCTTCCTTCTCCAACCACGAGCAGCCTCCTCCTGGGCTTTCATTTCTGCATTCGTTCCCGCCTTTCCTCATTACCAGCACTCAACTTCCTGAAATAGCTGCAAGAACCTGAGCTACTTGGGGGGATCATAACAAGGCCAGTGGGCTGGGAGGAGCCCACCATGAACACATGTGCACCGAGGCATCCTGTGGCACCGGCAGTGCTGCCCATCAGGAGCTGCGACTGTCTCCTAACTCGGGAAACCTCTCACACCCAGGAGACCTGAGGTGCAGGCATCATGCCAGTCTCCACTTTTTTCCACCGAGGCTACAAGCACACCTCTCTCTGTCACAGCAGCCACGTGGTCCAGCTGCTGATGGGCTGCTGTGTGCCAGAGCCAGGGCACGGCGATGGAGAGGCACCCGCTTGCTGCCAGAACCTCTCCTTGCCCAGCCACAGCAGCATGCCCCTGCCAGAACAAGCCCTCCACCCTGCTATGCTCAGATCCTCGCCCATCCCGGGCTGCCTGCACATCTCTCCTCTATTTTCCTCTACTTGCCTGCCCCCTCCCTCCCCATGCTCTTGCCTGCAGTGCTCCTGGCTGCAGCCACAGGGGTGGGTGTCCAGCAGGAACTGTCAGAAAGTGCAACAGGGAGTTTTGGAAAGGGCAAGGGATGGAGGAGCTGTGAGCAAGGGAAACACAGCAGGAGCACAGACTACTGGGTTCATTCTCAGCTTTTCCACTTGCTCACCAGCTCTGTCCTGGCATACCGGGACTCAACACCCTGAATCACAAAAGCACAGGACATTCCCGGCACAAAGTGATCTACCCATCATCAGAGAGATAACGACCCTGGAGCAGAGAGGTTGGGGCTATCCCTGGGGATATCCCTGGGAATGAACATGCCATGCCCAAAGTGGTCCTAGCTTAGGCACAGGAGAGCATCCATTACCACAGTGCTGTCCATCTCCAACTTCTGAGTGACTTCAAGTGTACAGCAGGAAAAGTTTCCATACATGAGGACTGGAGGCAGGAGAACCGGGTGACACCTAGCATTGGCACACAAAGCAGAACTGATGAAGTCTCCCACCAGTTCTCTGGCTATCCTTTTCCATCTCTCTAGAAAAGAAGCTGACCATGCAGACCCCCCCCCCCCCCCCATCTGTAGAGCAAAACACCTTGTCCATAAAGCAGCCTCTCCCTTCACCATTTCACCCCAGAAGCACCCTAATCAGGGATCCAGCATTCAATGGAATTTGCTTTGACAAGTTTTTCTCCCTCTCTAGATAAGGTCCCTGTCTGCAGCAGCAACAGCTCATTCCCAGCTCCTTGTTTTGGCTGAGTGGAACAGTAGGAAATCATGCAAACAATTCACACAAGAGAAGCTTATTCAGGGGAGGAAATGGCCCCAGTAGAAATAGAAAGGAGAGCAAGGGAGGAGGAAAACAGCAGGGGAATTCCACGCTTACCCTGCTCTCCTGTTCCAGCCCTGTAACCTGCACTGCTAACCGCTTCCTCAGCCACCAGCATGAACCTCTGCCAGCGGGCTTAGCAAGCACAGCTCGATCCTGCCCTGCAGCCCTGAACCAGCCCAGCCTGGCTCCTTTCCTTCCTCCCCACATACCAATGCAATGCTGCCCTGCTCCATAAAGCTGTTCCAGCTGCCCTCTGGCAGCTCCGAGGGAGTAGTGGATCTCAGCTGCCTTATCCCATGTTCTGTGTTCCTGCCCTGCAGTTTTCATTACCCCTTCCCTGGGAAGGGCACAGCTTGAATTTGAGTGGAGGGGGGTTGGGATGGGACTGGAGGGAGCTTGCAGCTAGAGGGCTGCAAAGCCCTTTTAGCCACATTGAGTTCAGCATTCCTGATCACCAGGATCTGCTTCCCAGCCTGGTGCTCCTGGGGCCAGAGTGAGGGGTGGGGAACCAGCAGGTGAGCAGAGGAGACAGTCTTACCTCTCCTGGGGTGCTCTGCAGAGGGTCTGGTCTGAGTGCTTGAGGATGAAGGGAGCTGGAGGCAGACAGGCAGGAGAAGCATTGCAGGAGGGCTGTGGGCACCTCATTTTTCAGTGAGGTGGGGACAAGAAAGTACCCTGACCTCACAGCCTCTAGATTCTGCACCCACACATTTGAGAGTTTTGCTCCATTTCTGAGCAGATGGTGGGTCTGGGATTGTAGAAGCACTAAACATTAGATGCATGTGGGCCGTTCCCTGCAAAACAAGAGGTTTGTCCCATACTACTATCTATGCACAGATGGGCCAAGCCAGAAAACAGGTCAGCCCACCCAAGCAAGGGCCAGTCACCGTCAGAGAAGCATGATGAATAACTTCAATAAAAGCAGCAAACATCCCAAAAAGTCCATTGACTGTGGACAGTCCATTTCAAACAGAACAAACTCACACCTGACTCCTTGGGAGGCAAATACATTCTACAGTTTCTGTACACAAAGAGATATCTTGAGGTCAGAAGAGCCTCTTAAAAGAAGAAAGTGCCTGGACTTTGCCAGAGCCTGTACAACACACCCTAGCAATCATTTACAGCCTCACAGGTATCCTCATTGTCTCAGGATTTTCTTTTAATGAGGCACGAGCATT